TGACGACTTGTATGGTTTTTGCATCACTCAAACTGCTCTTATTTTTGTGTACCTCAATATTTTTTAATTCTGTTTACAGTTTACTGTAGCTTAAGTCTAGATCTTTCTAAGGATATATAAAACTTTGTAGTTTAGTATTATCTTGGTCATGAATTTAGGACTTGTTTGTAAACGACCCTAAACAACAAAAAATCTCAAAAACGTCATTTCTAGAAATATCACTTAGAAACAAAATTAGGTATTGTTTTTAGGTATTTCATGATGATATATGATATTTATGACTATTTAAACTTAAAATTAATAATTTAAACTTATATATCCTTAGAAAGGTCTAGACTTAAGCTACAGTAAACTGTAAACAGAATTAAAAAATATTGAGGTACACAAAAATAAGAGCAGTTTGAGTGATGCAAAAACCATACAAGTCGTCAGATATGAAAAGTACCCTATATATCGGCAGATTTTGAACTTTTTGAAAAAATTTCTTCGCAATTTGTTTTTAAATATTGTTTGTCATCGAAAAATAACACAAAACTCATTTTTTGTTGTTGTTTCGTAACTTTTATAAGATATTTTATTTTTTGCTGAATTATTCTACTACTTATTTAAATCAATTTATCTCAAAAAAGAACCAAAGAAATTTTGATGTTTATACATTTTTGAAAACTATTTTTCATAGAATTTTCACACATTTCTTCCCATACTGGTACCAAAACTACAAAATTACAAATTTTGTACATTATCGAAACAAAGCTCTTACATGACACTATTAGAAACCGAAAAGCGTTTCTTAATATCTTTAACTATTAAAAAGATGTGACAGTTTAAATAAGACGTGAAAAAATCAAAATTTTCACTCATTTTCAACTTCAAACAGCCATAGAATTGTAAAAACAGCATCAAATGACCTGAAATTTGGCATAGAAGTCAATTTTGATGTCCTCTACAAGAAAAAACCCTGAAAGCGTAGTTCAAAACTGTTCAAAAATTTCCTTAATTGCCGCTTTTTTTCAATTTTGCCCCATAGTGTACTGTTGAAACAATACACATTTTTTTTAAATTTAATTAACAAAATATCGTTGCATAAGTTTAAGAAATTAATTTAATAAAGCAGAAATATTTCTATTTGAAATAAAATTAAATTTGGCTTAAAATTCAGTGTGCAAAGACGACTTTTATTTTGTATTTGTGTAAATTGACTTTAGCCGACTATTTTTTACAAAACCTTAGTCTTCGCTTATTTAAAAATCAAAATCAATGTGAGTGTAGAATCAAAAATTAGTTTAAACGTCTGCATTTAAAGTAAAAAATGGAAGCTATTTTTAAACAAAATTGTTAAAAACTAGTGTATCGGGTAGAAACCCAATGCGGATTATATTCACACCGTACCATCAAAAATCTTATGGATAGACCAAGATTTGCCCAGCATAAGAGTAATTCATATTGTAAATGTCGTAAAAACATTTTCATGCAGTTTCAAGCTTGTCGACTAAATATCTATTCAATAACTCAAAATTTTGCCAACATGTTATACATCATTGGAAAGGTCTTTATTTGATATTTAAAAATATGTTAATTAAATTAATTTTGAACCGGTTTTATCGGTTAATTTACCGGTTCAAACTTTGTGAGAAAATTAAAAAAAGTAAATTGGAATAACTTTTACAGTTTTCAACCATTTTCAATGATTCTTTTTTTGGCTGAAAGCCTATATATTTGCAGTTAGCTTTAACATTAATTAAATTTTTTCCAATGTATGGAACATCATTTTTTGAGGCTCCCAAGTTTTTGACTAAAATAGCTCTTTAACGAAAAACTTTTTAATACTTTAATTTTGAGATTTATTATTCCTGTTTTTCTATTAAAAATCAAAGAAAAAATTTGAAAAATTCGTATAAAAATTTTGTTTGAGTAAATTTTGGTCAAAATTTATGGATGAACCCCATATTATTGTGTGTTATTACAAAGAAAATAAAAATACAAGTAATATGCAAAAAGTTTGAAATCAATATCTATTATCGTTTTCAAATGAGAGCTGTTTTAGTAAATTTTGGTCAAAATTTATGGATGAACCCCATATTATTGTGTGTTGTTACAAAGAAAATAAAAATACAAGTAATATGCAAAAAGTTTGAAATCAATATCTATTATCGTTTTCAAATGAGAGCTGTTTTAGTAAATTTTGGTCAAAATTTATGGATGAACCCCATATTATTGTATGTTGTTACAAAGAAAATAAAAATACAAGTAATATGCAAAAAGTTTGAAATCAATATCTATTATCGTTTTCAAATAGGAGCTGTTTTAGTAAATTTTGGTCAAAATTTATGGATGAACCCCATATTATTGTGTGTTATTGCAAAGAAAATAAAAATATAAGTAATATGCAAAAAGTTTGAAATCAATATCTATTATCGTTTTCAAATGAGAGCTGTTTTAGTAAATTTTGGTCAAAATTTACGGATGAACCCCATATTATTGTATGTTGTTACAAAGAAAATAAAAATACAAGTAATATGCAAAAAGTTTGAAATCAATATCTATTATCGTTTTCAAATAGGAGCTGTTTTAGTAAATTTTGGTCAAAATTTATGGATGAACCCCATATTATTGTGTGTTATTACAAAGAAAATAAAAATACAAGTAATATGCAAAAAGATTGAAATCAATATCTATTATCGTTTTCAAATAAGAGCTACTTTAGTCAAAAACTTGGGAGCCTCAAAAAATGATGTTCCATGCATTGGAAAAAATTTAATTAATGTTAAAGCTAACTGCAAATATATAGGCTTTCAGCAAAAAAAAGAATCATTGAAAATGGTTGAAAACTGTAAAAGTTATTCCAATTTACTTTTTTTAATTTTCTCACAAAGTTTGAACCGGTAAATTAACCGATAAAACCGGTTCAAAATTAATTTAATTAACATATTTTTAAATATCAATTAAAGACCTTTCCAATGGTGTATAACATGTTGGCAAAATTTTGAGTTATTGAAAAGATATTTAGTCGACAAGCTTGAAACCGCATGAAAATGTTTTTACGACATTTACAATATGAATTACTCGTAAGAAGGTATGAAGCTTGATAAGTCAACTGAGCTTCGCTCAGCATAAGTTTGAAGGTATAAACCTAGCGAGCCAGCTGAGCTCCGCTCAGCATATGTTTGAAGTTTTAAAGCTTAACGAACATTCTTTAAAAGTAAAAATATTATAAAAATCACAGTGTACTTTTATTTTAAAAAATTCGTAAGAAACGAAAGTTTTTTGCTTTTTTTGAAGCATCGGCTGTTCCTACCTTGCCAAAAAACAATACAGCTCTTCTATAAAGCAGCAGGGATCAAATGTAAAAAACCAGAAGTATCTACGATGTCTCGTTATTCAGATTTCTTGCTGATTAACTTGCTTGCTTGTTTGCTTACAGAAAGCGTATTTTGCGATTTTCTCAGTAATGCCGCAACCAATTTGAAATCTATTTTCTGAAAATGATGTAAAATTTCAGGCACAAACTTTTCTTCTTGAACCTTTTATAACCAATTTTGCTTTGTTTTCTCTCAAAATGCGAAAAACTGATTTTTCAATCTGAACAAAACCAATAGATTCACACGTGAAAACTGTGTGAATATAAAAAAGTTGTGTATAATATTACTTAAATAATATTATTTATGCTTGTTTTTTCCCAAACTTTTTCATTTTGCGGCAGCCAACCCGCTGCCATTTTGATTGTTAGACGTAAATGCTTATTGAAGTTTTGTAGCTCAACTGTGAAACTTTCACGACACACAGTTTGGGAACCACAAAGATACATTTACATACATTACTTTGATTTTCTAACATTGAATAATTTATCTTTTATTTGCAACCCAACAAAACCATAATATTAGATAAGAATCAAATTTATTGACTAAAACAGCTCAAAAATCGTTATAAAAGTTATATAAACTAAATGAAATTGTTGTTTAGCTTAGAAGCGCGCCAGAATCATTTTTGAAATGTTGTGGCTTACTTTATGCTGTGCTAGCTTTTTCGTAAGATTCTTAAGTTTAACAAAAAAAAAATCCTTATCAGCTTATGATTTCTTCTCTAAAATTTGAAAAGACGTTACATTAAGGATTATCTTTTGTATAATTTTCAATTATAAAGTATTTTATTTTTTTATTTTAATTTATTATTGTCATTAATCTCATTGAAAAAATATAGTCAACTGCCCGTGCCTTGAAAATAATAATTTTCTTTTGGTTCAAAAAATATGCTGAGTTAGTAATGTTATTATTTTCTGAAGTTTTATTTTTTATTTGTCATTGAATCAATTTTTCCCATTGTAAATAAATTCTAAAATCTGTTAACGCTGGCATGCGTTTTTTTATTAAACTTATTTGTCCTTTTTCACAACTAGTAATTTATTTTAAAAAAAATTATTATGAAATTTTATTTTAATAATTTTTTTAATTTTAATTCTTATGTTTCAAAAGAAGCACACACAATCAAACAACAAAGTTGCATTATCAGGCTTATTAAAAACAACCTATCTTAGACATTTTATAAAAATCAATATTTCAAAACAAACTATCTCAAATTGTTTTAAAATAATATACTTGTTGCTGAATAGCTGAATTTAGCCTGAAACTTTAGTTTTTTTTCCTAAAGCTCTTCTTTAAAATTATTTGAAAATTATTTTATCCTTCTTATACAAATAATTATATTATTATTTCGTATGCTAATATTTTAACAATCAATATTTTTATAGATTGAAAGATTTGCTCTTTTGTGTTCCTTATTAAATAAGTTTTACAACATTAGACTAAGCTGCAAAAATATAACATTTTTGAGATTCGAATTTTTTCAATTCTTCAAATTCAAAAGTTAACTACTTTTTTATCCATACATTAACATATATAATACAGAATTCAATTAATTTTCCATTGTAATTTTCTTCACCCACAAATTAAAATGTTAATATTTGATGAGTAAATTTCCTTATCCTAAATCTTTTACTCTATTAGGTTCATCCATGCGGTCGATATCGCCATAACACAGTAGTTTTTATCCTCGCAAAAGAATATAATTTGAAAAATTTACGAACAATACATCGACTGGATCGTCTAACATCGGGCTTGTTATTATTTGGTCGAAGTCCAAAGAAAGCAAGACAAATGGAACATCAAATTAGAAATCGACAAGTGCAGAAACAATATGTTTGTCGAGTAGAAGGAGAATTTCCCGAGTATGTTGTGAATCACAACTTGTGATAATAAGATTTTAAGTTTTAAATAAAATATTTTAAACTTTTTATTTTCTAACAGGGGAATTATTGAATGTAAAGAACCTATTGAAGTAGTAAGCTATAAAATCGGTGTATGTAAAGTATCGCCAAAAGGTAAAGATTGTACGACAACTTTTGAGAAATTGGGATATAACGGAACGACAAGTGTGGTTCTTTGTAAGCCCCTTACGGGCCGAATGCATCAAATTCGTGTTCACCTCCAATACCTTGGTAAGGATTTTTTATTTTTTAAAATGATTATAAAGTTCAGAAACATAGCCAGTCATTTATTTCATTTTCATTCATTCAAAAAACATTATATAATATTTTGTTTCAATTTAAATGATTAAAGGTTATCCAGTAGTAAATGACCCACTATATAATCATGATGTTTTTGGACCAAGTAAAGGAAAAGGTGGAGATATTGGAGGCAAGACAGATGAACAACTTGTCCGCGATTTAATAAATATTCATAATGCTGAAAATTGGCTTGGAATTGATGGCGATTCAGATCTTTCAATGTTTAATAAATCAATGGGTTCAGATATAGATGACAGCTTAAGTGTCACAAATAAAGGTTAGTTGATAATTTTTTTTGAACTAATTATAACTTATTTTGCCATCATTTAATTTGACCAGGAAATCCATTAAGTGATGATGATTGTGAATCAGTATCACGTGAAGCATCACCATGCTCTGAAAGTCCACGGCCTATTTCTGTCGGTAGTGAAAGTCCTAATGAAAATATTTGTACAATGCCCAACCAAATGAACAATAACATTGATAACAATAAGATTAGTAGTAATGTTCAACTCCATAGCGGAAATATTCGAGTAATACGAGAGCAGAAGGTGGGTGTAAGTAATCGATATTAAAATTTTTTTTTTCGTCGTGATTTGAAGTCTGATTATCCATTTATATTTTTTTAAAGTTACACCAATATTCATAGTAATTTTCCGCAGGACAAAAGTAAACAAAATTACCACAAAGATAATAAAAGATTGACTACAGTTGTATATTTTCATTTCTGTAATAACAACTAAATTCATTCCTGTAGCGTGTGTATATATTTTCATGTTTCCATTGCCATCAGTCACTCGTCAGTTGCTTTCAAAAATCGTAAATTTTCCTAATGACAACCCTCTACGCTCTCACTTCCATTTATACCTAAATATCTGCACAAAATGCGATAGAGAATGAGAAACACGAAGTAAATTTTTCGTCATTAATGTTGTAAATAAAATGTATACATGTCCGGCACGAAAAATAAGTTTATCTTGAACTGTTTTTAGTTCGTAAAGTGTACATTACAATAAAGATATTTTTTTTTTGGATTTTTTATACTTATACTGTCTGTGTTCATTCTCTTATCATTATCGAAAGGACTTTTACAAATTTCCTTTTTTATCACCAGCTACTTAAAGTTAAATTTTTCATGCCATTTGTTATTATTGACTGACAGGGATCTTTATTGACCCATATTTAATGGTCTTCCGACTTTTGTGATGTCGTAAAAGCCAATACATAAAAATAAAATAATTTTACCAACGATGAAGATGGTTTGAATTAATGAAATGTTGAATGTTAAAGAAATTCTACTCTTTGACTCTATGTTTTGTAATGACCAATTTATTTTTAAATGAAAAAAACTCCTTTAATTTAATTTATTTGTCATCCTTTAAATTTTTATTCAAACTCATCATTTCACACAACAGGTAACAGTTGCAACACAGACAGGTCACGAATCACCAGATTTAACATTTAATACAGATAAAATGACGACCGACAAGCATTGTTATGAATGCAAAGTGCGTTACAAGGACCCGAAACCGCAGGACTTGGTGATGTATTTGCATGCTTGGAAATATAAGGTTAGTTGAATTTTGTATAAACTTAAGAGAACACTAGAAAAATATAATACATTATTATATTATAATCAGGGGGGGGGGACAGAGCAAAAATTTCCATAAAAAAAAACCCAAAAATGTTTACTCTGATGAAATTTCCAAGTACTCCACTTTGTATTGGAAAAAAAATTGTCGAAAAATGAAATTTTCGCAATACTTCCTTCCGATGCAGTTTAGGACCGAAATTTTGATTGCAGCTGATGAGAATCATGATTTAAGACCTTTTGACATCCAAAAAATTTTACTTCGATGCTTCAGTTCCTTTAAATTTGACTTTTTCAATTTCGTTTGTGGAGTACTTGGAAATTTCATCAGAGTAAACATTTTTGGGTTTTTTTTTATGGAAATTTTTGCTCTGTCCCCCCCCCTGATTATAATACAGTATTACATACTGTGTAATAAGTTCAGACGTCGTTGTCAATGATGCTGGGTTATAAGTCCTGATGTAAAAGTCTTGCACAGAAAGTTATAAGTTCAGAAAATTAAACTCACGTGAGGCTTATAAATACAGTTACAAACTGTTCCTGGAATTAAAAACCTCACGTGCAGTTCATAAGTTCAGAAAATTCATAAATTTTACTAAATTAATCTCACAGTGTGATAACTCCAGATATATTTTTCTGGACTAATAATCATTGAAAATTATTTGAACTTTTTTAAGTTTTTCTTTTCTTTATTAACTAAGGGTAACATAAAAGTTTCATAGGCAGAGTGGGTGATTTAAATCAAAATCTTTTTGCAATGATTTTAAAAAGAGATTTTGATTTGAATCATTTTACCCAAGTGGTTTTTTTCTCGATTTTGATTTAAATCATTTTTTTAAATGGATTTTTTTTGGAATTTTGATTTAAATCTCTTGTATGAAAGATTTTTTTTTGGGATTTTAAAATCCCTCAATATAAATTTTTTGTATGCAATTTCTTAAATTATTTTTGAAATCAACAGTTTTCAGCCGCATTTCCTAATAAGAACCTTATTCAATGTTTACATTAATAGCATTTCCTCGATCCCATTACATTCGACTATCTCTTTACTGTGATGACATTTCTTTGGTTACTACAGCTAAATCACCTACGGTTCTTAAAAAAAATCTAGAGGAAGACCTCTCGAGAATATCGTTGTGGCTGCGTTTCCACTATCTCTTAGCAAACGAAAGTAAATCTAAATACGTAATGTTCCATAACAAACGACGGCATGAAAACTTCTATGAATTAGCTCTGAATATACGTTTCAATGGCAGATTAATAGAACGAGTAGAACACACTAAATTGTTAGGACTAGAAATCGACGAGACTCTTTCATTTACTTTCCATATTTATCAGCTTCAAAAAAAAATTATTTCTTTCATGTTTGCACTTAAAAGAATTCGTTGCTTAATATCTGATCAGACTGCTCTACTTCTCTATTTTGCATATATACACTCCCGATTGAGCTACATGAATTGTATTTGGTCAACTACACCAAAGTATATGATGGATGCCATCGAAATTGTACAACGTAAAGCCTTGAGAATCGTTTTCAGTAAAGATAGGCTATATAGTAGATCTGAACTTTATTCAGAAAAAATCCTACCGGTCTCCCTTCAATGTCAATTGTCATCATCAATCTTATTTTTTAAAATGATTAATAACTCCGCTAAATTAATTTTCCCAATACAGTATGCTTTTGAAAGACATAGACACGCAACCAGAAATGCAAATAATATAGTTGTACCAACGACAGCAACCCAGTTAGGCAGTCAAAATTTTTTTATAAGAGCTTATCTGGATTTTAATGTCATCCCAGCTGAAATTAAGAAATTTCTAAGCCTTAATCTCTTTAAAACACGATTAAGAGAACATTTATATATAAAGCTATTGTGGTATGATGCATAAATAATTAAATTCACTTTCCATAAATAATAATAATCTAATGTATTTAACAGTTTTAAACTAAAATACAATAATCAATTTATAAAAAAAAAAAGTAAGGATGCAGTTAATCACGAATTGGATTTCGTTTAACTCAAAGAGCATGGAATGAATTGAATGAATTGAAAACAACTTTTCGTTTCTCTACGAGTATATCGTAGACCCCGTTATTTTACACCATTGGTTGCTGTTATCTTTATTTAAGAAATGTTTGGATCTAAAATATCCAGTTGCAAGATTCTGGCCGAAAAAGGATCAACTGCATTCTTACTTATTAGGAAATGTGGCTGAAAACTGTTGATTTGAAAGATAATTTGAGAAATTGCATACAAAAATTGTATATGGAGGGATTTTAAAATCCCAAAAAAATCCCCATACAAAAATGATTTAAATCAAAATCCCAAAAAAAATCCCTGTGTAAAAATGATTTAATCAAAATCGAGAAAAAAATCACTTTGGTAAAATGATTTAAATCAAAATCATTTTTCATTGAGATTTAAATCAAAATCAAAAGTAAACTCTGAGATTTTGATTTAAATCGCAAAAAATCTCCTCACCTTGTTTATGGGCAAATCTATGAATAAACGGTACTGTAGAAATCGACTTGAAATTTTTCTCAACTTAATAAATTCAAAAAAACCGTTAAGTTTAAAATAAAATTTGGTTTAATTTCCATTCTAAATTATTTCATCTTTTAAAAAAATCAACAAATTGCAAAGTAAAGACTTAATAATTGTAATAAGTTCAAATGTAGGTTTCAAAGTCCATATTTGATTAAATATATTTTGAGTATTGATAAAATTTAACGAAATTTTCAGTTTCAAACTAAATTGTGTTTTGCAATAAAAGGTTGTAATGTTGACAGTGAAACGATATTTTTTGCAAATATCTCTTTAATTAACCCATTAATTTAAATAATAAGAGCACATAATGGAAGCTAATAGGAGCGAAAATTTGATGAGATCTATTTTGTGATATTAAAATGGCTAGTTAAAGAGAAAATTAAAGAATAAAAAAATTCAGTTTTGATAATGTTGACAGGTAAACGCTCTTAAAAGAGGAAAAACTCATTAATTAATTAATGTACAAATGTTTTCATAGTTCAAAATAGTGATTATTTGACTTTATTTTCGGAAAACTTGACTTAAAATTGATTTACAAGTGATTAAGGGACACGAGTTTTACTATTAAAGATTTGATCATAACTGAAGCTCATCATTCTTAGTTTAATCTTCATTTCTCCAACAAATAATTTAAAATTACAGTTTGATGAACATATTTTCGACAAAATTAACTCTTTTATGCAATATTTGACTGTTTTGGTTATATATCAATAATTTTTTTAAATAAATTTCACAAAAAAACATCACTTTAGTCCCGAAAATTAATAAATATGCGCAGATTTTGCATGTTCATACATGATATCTACACACATAAATATGTGTCACACATCACACATTTTCATATGTGACACAAAATAATGTGTCACACATCAAATATGTGCACACATCACACATAAAATATGTGCACATATGCAATGTGTGACATATATTATCTGCCAACATATAAATTCTGCCACACATTGTACACGTGAACATATTTTTAAAAAAGGCCAGATTCTATTTTTAACCACCCTGCATATCGCAACATAAAATTATTCAAACACTCTTATTGACAAAACAAATCAATTTAATAATTTAAAAGCTGCAGCTGGCTGGTTAAAACAAACGTATTCATTTATGTTAATAATAATAATAGATAAAGTATTCAGCGTTCAATGTCCCGAAAGCAAGAAACTGAATTCTAATCTAAATAAAGTATTCAGTGTTTAATGTCGCAAAAGCAGGAAACTTAATTTTAAAAACCCATATAAGTGATTTCACTAAATAAAGGGTTCTTTCTAACTTAAGTATTTTAATCAAATTTTTTTTTTCTTTATTTAAGTTTCTGTTTGTAAGGATAGACTTTATATTCAAATTTCATGAGGATAACATTAATTTACAGAGTTTTTATCGTAACCATATGCACCATGAAATGATGGGGAATTAAAGGGTTCAGAAGGTTTAAATATTTATTTATTTATCTATATATATATATACTAGTACGGAATCCCGTAATAAATTGCGGGGAAACCAATGGTATGGTACTGATGAAATGATCAAAAAATAATTAAAAATGATCAAAATTGATCGTTGCAAACTGAAATTAACGTGAACAGACGTGTTTACAAATCGCTCTTCAAATTATTCAAAAAAATCTCAATAGAAAGTTTCAAAATCTCAGTTTGATTCTCAAAACATCAAGATAGAAAAAAAAATCACCAAAAACTACCAGCAACGAAGAAAATCTTTCTCAAAATCAGCATGGACTTAATAGTTCTCAACAACAACATTCATCTTCAGTAACAATTCACAATATTGAGGAAATTATCTGTGAAAATGTTTCACAAGCAGCCGACATTGAGATGACAAATCTCAAACCAAAAAAACAAACTTCAATGAAGCGAGTAAGGCAGAAAAACGCCCTCGAGTAGTGATAGTTCCCAGCGCTCCTTTTAAAAGAGTAGCAAACGAAAGCAATCCAAAAGATGGGAACAAACCACTGTTCGAACTCCCACCAATGAAGAAAGCTTTGTCTTCTGGAGTACCGTATCTATTTGGTTCACCAGAACAGGAGACAAAAAGATCGACAACTCCATCGTGCTGGGGAGAAAACAGCAAAACATTAGAGCAACAAAAGACAATTTCCGTAAACAGGAAAAGCAACATCAACAAATCTCAACAAAAATCAAAACCACCTCCAATTGTCATCAGCACAGGTGGAGCTGGTGAAATCAAGAAATTGACGAATGAAATAAACAATCAACCTGGAAGTTTCTTAATTGAGACCAAAAAGGGCAAACAAGGAACAAAAACGGTAACAACTGAGAGTTGGGATTACTACGAGAAATTCATCCAACTACTCAAAGACAAAAAGCATCACTTTCACGCATACTCCAGCCAAGAACCACTAAAAAAGTACGTACTCTATGGACTCCCAGATATGAAAATCAGTGAGTTGGAGAAGGAACTTCAAAGCGTAAAAATCACACCAATAAAAATTGTCAAAATGACAATGAAAAACAAAAAAAAAACGAACAAGACGACGACCAGAACTACCTCGTGTACTTCAAAAAAGATGTAGAACAAGGTGGAAATTTCCTGAAATTCCTCAGAAAAATCAAAATTATCAGCAGTTTCAAAATTAACTGCAACATGACTCGAAAACGTGTTCCACAAGGTTCTACTCGGAAAACTCAAACGTTTCTTCTGCGGTGAAAAACATACAACAATTTTCACAGGTTGTAATACCAGACAAGAAATAATAGAAAAGTGGAAATCAAAATCACAGAATGGAAACAACCGAAATCAAAACAAAAAACCAGGCTATTATTCATATGGACAACGGAGAAACAATCCTCCAATACCGCATCTTCCTGAGCGATCAACCAGAAACGTCCAACATGCACCAAAACCTCAATGGAGAAAGAAGAATGTGGAACCATCAACATCTGGTACACAAAAGCTTCCAAATCACAAACCCTTAAATCAGGGAAATAAAAATAACTTGAACAACCAACAAAACAATAAAGAAAGGGGAAAACATTGGAAAAAGAATCAAAGAAAAAAGCAAAACGAGCGCATTAATAACAATCAACATCAAAAACCAAAGCAAGATGTTGAGCTTATGGACTCAGAAGACATCAGTCCAACAAGTCAGACCAAGAATGAAGTCTTCCCTGAACTTTCATTCAGTGTTGAGGGAGTAAATCGAAACATAACAACTAATCAACAAGCTCAAAGCACCAGCACAAGAGATAAAAAAACATCTCAGAAATAGAGGAATCAAAGTGTAAGTACCTTATCAGCGAGCTTCTCAAATTAATCGCAAAAATCCAGAGTTGATCGACGAAATACTCCAAGCAATCGGCTCAAATGCCAAAAACACCGCATACAATAATGGATTGTAGACAAAAAAGTATCAACGTCCTCTACTGGAATGCTAACGGCCTCACTGACAAAATGTTAGCAATCCTCGACTACCTAAGCAAGCAAAACGTCGATGTTGCTTGCATCTCAGAAACATTCCTAAAACCAAGCTCAAAAATTTAATCCCATCCAGACTACGTAATTCATCGATTGGATCGCGTGGATAGACCAAAAGGTGGTGTTGCAATCATCGTCAAAAGAAATCTAAAACATCAGCTTCAACCAAGCTACAACACAAAACTAATGGAATGCATTGGAATCAAAGTCTTCATCAATGACACGGATAGTTGTCACATCCTCTCAGTCTATCTCCCAGGAGGAAGCTAAGGAGGGGAAATAGATCAACATCTGAGAGATGACATCAACAAAATAACAAAATTGAGAGGAAATTACTACATCTGTGGAGACTTCAATGCAAAACATCGAGAATGGAACTGCAACTTTGCAAATTGTGAAGTAACGGTCTTTTCGCTTCTATATTTCTTGCTTGATTTCCGAATTATCGAACTGAGTCAAAATTCGACCTTTTTCCCCACTTTTATATCATCCTTCGAGCGACATGTTAGTCCCGACAATTGTAAGAAATAATATTAATTAAATTCACATTTATAATATACATTTATATTCATTAGAGCGATAAAATCGCCTATATAGTTTCACATACATCAAATAAATACATTTTACAAGTTTATGATTATATCGATTGTTTCACGTGAAGAACAAAAATTCAACAGGCATGATCTTCCTGGATGTAGAAAAAGCATTTGACAGAGTCTGGCATAACGGACTCTTGTACAAAATGCTCAAACTGAGATTTCCACTGCTGTGATACATCACTGTATCATTCTGCAGAGAACTCGGCCGATATTGTGACACATCTACAGCACACAGGAAGAAAATTTCAACAATATATGAACAAATGGAAGATCAACCTCAACAAACAGAAGACTCAAGCCTTATTCATCACAAACAGGCACTCCAGGCAACTTCCAGGAAATAACATCAAATTTCTCAACGAAAACATCAAATGGGAAACAGAAGCTAAATATCTGGGAATGGTGATCGACAAGAGAGTGACATTAAAGCAGCATGTGGAGTATGTGACCAATAGGGCTCACACCGCATTAAGACAGCTTTACCCGCTCATCAGCAGGAACTCACAACTCGACGTACGAAACAAACTTCTCATCTACAAGCTAGTCATCAGACCAATATTCACATATGGTTGTCAAGCAATTGGAAGCATGGCAAAAACCCACTTTCAAAAACTTCAAGTACTGCAAAACAAGTTCTTGAGAAATGTTCTCAATAAAACAAGATATGAAAGGATCACCGATCTTCATACAGAAGCGAAAATACCGTCCATCGAAGACTACGTCGGAAATTTGCAAGCGAACTTCGACAGTCGTCTTGCACCTCTTAACACCTCAATCTAAAAATCACTAAAATGCAGCTACCCTAATATGCAGATAGTACTGCTAAGATGCAGATGGTACTGCTAAAGTGCAGATGAAATTTATTTTCCCTAAAATGCAGATGAAATGCTACCAACTCTCTACAACATCTTCACGTATGATGTTGTAAGAGAGACAACCAACAACATCGGTCTTTTCGCAGATGATACAGCACTGTATCATTCTGCAGAGAACTCGGCCGATATTGTGACACATCTACAGCACACAGGAAGAAAAGTTCAACAATACATGAACAAATGGAAGATCAACCTCAACAAACAGAAGACTCAAGCCTTATTCATCACAAACAGGCACTCCAGGCAACTACCAGGAAATAACATCAAATTTCTCAACGAAAACATCAAATGGGAAACAGAAGCTAAATATCTGGGAATGGTGATCGACAAGAGAGTGACATTAAAGCCGCATGTGGAGTATGTGACCAATAGGGCTCACACCGCATTAAGACAGCTTTATCCGCTCATCAGCAGGAACTCACAACTCGACGTACGAAACAAACTTCTCATCTACAAGCTAGCCATCAGACCAATATTCACATATGGTTGTCCAGCGTTTGGAAGCATGGCAAAAACCCATCTTCAAAAACTTCAAGTACTGCAAAACAAATTCTTGAGAATTGTTCTCAATAAAACAAGATATGAAAGGATCACCGATCTTCATACAGAAGCGAAAATACCGTCCATCGAAGACTACGTCGGAAAGTTGCAAGCGAACTTCAACAGTCGTCTTGCATCTCGAAACACCGAATAAATCAAATGAAATACAAAAGAAAGTAAAATCCGTAAATGAAATCAAAATTAAGAGACAAAAGGCAAATTGAATGCCTGAAACCTTAAAACAAAAAGCAACAAAATGTATAGAAACTTTGTACATACTTAAATTTAAATGTAAATAAATAAAAAGTTTAATTTAAAAAAAAAAAAAAAAAAAAAAAAAAAAGCAGATGAAATGCTGTTGCTTTAAAAAAGATATAATGCAGATGATTTTTATCGTATAAAGTGCAGATAAGATGCTGCCCAAATGTAGATCGTATAGTTACATTAAACTACATCATATTCGATGATTTTTTTTTTTTCTTGATGCGTGTTAATGACTTTAAATGATCATTTGATTCTTTTCTCTTCTTATGATAGACTTAAATTTAAGGGTTATTATTTTGTCTGACGACATATTTATTTTTTTATATTGGATCGAGTATCCTTTGTATGAGTTCATCTATGTATCTTGCAAAAATGCTATATGTCGACTAATTACATCAAAATTTCGTGTAGCAAAGTAATTTAAAGTTATAAAGTTTGCAATGTATTCAAAAATGCATTTTTGTTTTCCAGTAACTTTTTTAATAACAAAACTAATGTATCGGGTAGAAACCCAATGCGGATATTTTCGCACCGTACCATCAAAAGTCTTGTGGAAAGACCAAGCTTAGCTCAGTATTCATTTGAAGCAAGCAAGCAAGTTAATCAGCAAGATATCTCAATAACGAGACATCGTAAAGACTTCTAGTTTTTTACATTTGATCCGTGCTGCTCTATAGAAGAGCTGTATTGTTTTTAAGCAAGATAGGAACAGCCGTTGCTTCAGAAAAAGCAAAAAACTTTCCTTTCTTACGAGTTTTTCAAAACAAAAGTTCACTGTGATTTTTTTTTTAAATTAAACTTTGGATGAAAAAAAAATTTTAAAAATCTTTCAAAGAATGTTCGTTAAGCTTTAAACCTTCGAACATATGCTGAGCGAAGCTCAGCTGACGCGCTAGCTTCATACTTTCAAATTTATGCTGAGTGAAGCTGAGCTGATTCGCTAGCTTTATTCATTCAAACCAGAGGGCGAAGATCTGATTCAAACTAATGCTGAGCGAAGCTGATTCACTAGCTTTATACCTTCAAACTTATGCTGAGCGAAGCTCAGCTGACTCGCTAGCTTTATATTTTCAAACTTATGCTAAGCAAATCTTGGTCTATCCATAAGACTTTTGATGGTACGGTGTGAATATATCCGCATTGGGTTTCTACCCGATACACTAGTTTAAGTAGACTATTTAAATAAATATAAATTTTGTTTTTATTTTATTACAGGGCCCTGGCTGGGATTACGAAACTGAACTTCCAGAGTGGGCACGAGTGGATTGGAAAGAAAATCAATGAGATTTCTAGAACGATTTGTTACTGCAGTTAAATAATTTTCATATCTAGGCATTTTTTTCAATTTTTAATTTTTCTTTATAATCTTTACTTGAGTATACTTAAGAATTGAAGACAAGGTATGTACATTTTCCATTAAGACATTTTCATTATAAAGATAAGCTAAAAGCTCTTTATCTACATAGAATATTAATAGAGAAAATTTAAAAATGAAATAAAAAAAATGAAAAATCAAAATGTCCCTTGCTCTTCTTTTTTATTTCTTATTACATTATATTGATTATTAATGAAAATATAATTTTTTATTGAGTTATTAAATCCTTAAAATACACAATTATGAATTAAATGGAAATTTAAATGTTTATAAATTAGTTGAGCTAGAAATAAAAATAAAACTATATTGTTAAAGGAAAGACAGTTAAAAATGTTAATAATTGGAAATGTTTTACAATATTCTTATAAGGGTTCGGTCCCAAATATACTTCTTTTGTTATTAATAAAATAGAGGCGTAAAGAAATGACCAAAAATACTTAAAATTCACGAAAAATTGTTTTAGTACACAAACCTTAGCTATATTTCTACTGAGTTCTAGTAAAACTTGTCCATTTTCCTGGCTTTAAGAGTTTAGTTTTTAGAAAAAATTTGTTGATCAACAAATTATCAAGATATAAAATTCACATAAACATAAAAGCTCTTGTAAGACATATGAGAGTAAATAATGAAAACAGTTAGTGTGGAAAACTTTTGATGTGAATGATTTTTTTTAAATATTGTAAGAATTTATTTTATAAAAAAGTAGAAAAATGATACATCATGAATGATAAATTTATGAGTGATGAAAAGATGATGATTTCATACATAGTTTAGATTCAATAGTGATAATCGAAAGTCTTTAAACTCAGATTAGTTTGTTTTTGTTTTGTTTAATGAATGATGAAATTATGACATTTAAAAAAACTAGTCAAATTTTGAAACTAGTTTTTCCGTTTAATTTAGAACTTACCACTATAAAATATAAAATTTAAATTAAGAACGCACAATAAAAGAGAAAAATCTTAATATTTTCATTTAGTAGTGAGCAGTTCTTATGATCGAAGATAAAGCTCATTGAATATTTTTATATGCAAACAAAATTATCAAATATAAAACATGCTCCAATTCAGTAATTCATATAATAAAATCAAAATATTAAAATATTAAATAAAACAAAATTATGATATATTGCAAAGTTCGAGAACTTACTGTTTTTATGATAGATTTTTTCCAACCAAATATTTCTTTTTAGAATGATTTTAAGCTATCATCACAGATTTAAAAAAAACATATCTGACCAGATTTTGTTGGTCAAAGCATCGAAAGTATATAAAAAATCATTCAATTATTTCAATTGGTTTTTCTTTAAAAATAATAATAATAAAAATAATATTTTTTTCATTCAACATAAAAGTTTCATAAATTCCAATAAAAAAGCTTCACACATATATGTATATAAATGATGAATAGTCTGAGAGATTTTCGCACATGAAATATAAACTATCAAGCCAAATAAGAAAGCAACAGTCGCTTTATGCATTAGATGGTGAAATTTTTTCGTCTTTTTTTTCTCGTGTATTGATTTATCCTCTGTTTTTATAACTGAAAATAAATTGTATAAAACTTCATATAGTACGATGTACGTGTACAGTGTGTGAACATAGAATTAAAATATAGAACTTTACTACAATTGGCCTTTTATCGTACTTTCATGATTCAAATAGCATGTCAACATTTAATGTTAATACTTGAAACGAAGATTGGAGGTTCTACCAGGATTTTTTTTGAATGAAAACCTTCGAACACAAAAATATTGAGAGAGAATATTGGAATCTTAAAATTGCATTTATACATACCAAAAACTAGTCAATGAATTCTCTAATTCTAAAAAAAAGTATATTATGAAGTATAAAAATTTAACATTTTTTGACCAGTGAAAAAAATAAACACTCAATTTAAAATTGCATTTTATCGTGTTTGGTTATTTTGATTTAATTAAATAAGTAGAAACTTTTCATCGATAATGCTAAGTTATCGATTATTGATAAGTTCTCATTTAATGTTTTTAATGATACCAAACATGCCGTTCGCTATTATTTTATCCTCAAATGTTTTTTGTCTAATGGTAGTTGCAGTCATTAAGCTTAATAAAGATAATTGAAACAGCAGAGAATAGAACGAGAGTGACAATTATAAAATCATTTTGTCTGTCAAATAAAAACCATTTTCGTTTACTTTAAAACAAGTTGAAGTAGAAAATATGAAATTGATAAAAAGTCGAAAAAATTTCACTCCAGCATATTTGCAACGTAATGAATGAGGACAATATACAGCTTTATAATTACAGAGAAAAAAAAAGAAAAGTTTTTTATGAAAAATGTTAAAAATAAAAGTTAGTAATTCATACAGGAAAAACGTTGTATGAATAATTATTTACGTTGAATTGCATTTTTAAAAATTCTAAAATTAGGGGAAAATATAATATTGCTAATAATTTGTTGTATTGTTCGATTTAAGACACACTAATTTTATGTTAGTTTCTATTTCGAAACGCACTTTTTGCTGTCTTAAGATTTGATTTTTCGAAAAATTGAATGGATTGTCAATTATTCGATATGTTTTGAAAGTTTTGACTTCCTTTTTTAAAAGGATCTTGATTGATACTTTCTAATAATAATTATTATAATATTTTTTTTTGTTTGTTTAAGATATAATTTTTTAAATTTTAATATTCTTATTTTAAGGTGCATCAACTTGGTTTAAATTCGCTGAAAAGGACACTGACGCTGCAGAAAAATAATGCTCCCACAGTGAAAATGTTCAAACAACTAGTGTATCTGGTAGAAACCCAATGCGGATATATTCACACCATACCATCAAAAGTCCTATGGATAGACCAAGATTTGCTTAGCATAAGTTTGAAGATATAAAGCTAGCGAGTCAGCTTAGCTTCGCTCAGCATAAGTTTGAAGGTACAAAGCTAGCGAGTCAGCTGAGCTTAAGCTTCGCTCAAAAATATTCGTAGAACTTCTTAAGCTTCGCTCAGCATAAGCTTGAATGTATGAAGCTAGCGCGTCAGCTGAGCTTCGCTCAGCATATGTTCGAAGGTTTAAAGCTTAAAGAACATTCTTTAAAAGTTTTTTAAAAATTTTTTTCATCCAAAGTTGAATTTTATAAAAATCACAGTGAACTTTTGTTTTGAAAAATTCGTAAGAAAGGAAAGTTTTTTGCTTTTTCTCAAGCAACGGCTGTTCCCATCTTGCCCAAAAACAATACAGCTCTTCTATAGAGCAGCACGGATCAAATATAAAAAACTAGAAGTCTCTACGATGTCTCGTTATTGAGATTTCTTGCTGAATAACTTGCTGGCTTGTTTGCTTACAGAAAGCGTATTTTGCGATTTTCTCAGTAATGCCGCAACCAATTTGAAATCTGTTTTTTGCAAAAGATGTGGAATTCCAGGCACAAACTTTTCATGTCTGAACATTTTAAGCTTTCTTGCTCCATATCCTCACAAAATTCAAAAAACTGATTTTTCAATCTGAACAAAACCAATAGATTCACACGTGAAAACGGTGTGAATATAAAAAGCTCAATTTCTTCTGATGCTCAATTCTAAATGAATTTAAATTTTTGTAGAATATGTAAATCTCATCTCGAAACTATCATTTCGAATGCTGTCCCTTGTGAGAGTCCTTTTTTCTGCGATCTCAGTTCTTTTCAGCAAATTTGAACAAAGTTGGTACACCTTGTTTTTTCTTCAGTTTATGAAGTAATGATTAAAACGTTAAATATTGTAAATGTTTAATGCTTTCATCCATATGGAAAAAATGATGATAAACGATAAGCGTGTAGAGAATTTTTAATGTATTTATTTCAAGTAAATTATCTCACTACACAGATTGTCAAAAAAGGAATAAAAATTTTTTTTTCGTAGAAATTTCTTTTTGTGATCAAACAACTTAAAACTTTTACTATCAAAATAAATTTTTTTAAATGTCTAGGATAGTAATTTTATTCAGGATATTAGCACATAAATTAATTAAAAAAAATCAAATGTTATTTTAATCTTGTTGAATTTATATTCAAATCCTAATTCTTAAACTTAAATTAAATAACTTAAATACTTATAGAAATAAGTTACAAATTTTTAAAGATATATTTACTTAAGTAATTATTCTTCTAATTTTTTGATCACATTAACGATGTTTCTTTACACTTCCATGCAACCGCGTAAATATTAAAGTCTTAAATTATACCGTAAAGTTTTTTAAACTTCAAACGATTTAATTAAATATATTTAGATCATTTTTAAAAACTGATCTATCTTAAAAGTAAGATATATTATTTTTATGAAAATGATGTGTTAGGTTTTGTGTGTTATATTATTTTCAAGATACAATAGAAGAAATACAAAACCATCTCGGGTTCGTTCACTTATTACGTTACGCAAAAAACAACTTTTGAAACCCCCTTCTCCTTTTTTACAAATTTTGTTTGGAAAATGTTTTCCTTTGTTACAAAATCCTAAACCTCCCCTCGTTAAAAAACGAACGTAATAAATGAACAGCCCCCTAATAAAAAGACAAGAATATATTTGTTAAGCTTTATCATTAAAAAATGAAAAGAAAGAAAACAATAAAAAATTTGAGAAGTCGTACACTTATTGCGTTTGCTTCTTAAAAGTCGTTTTTTTTGCGCAACGTAATAATTCAACAAGCCCTTAAAAGTTAAAAATAAAATTATAAAAAATTAATTTAAATTCTCATTGTACTTCCTAAATAAAGACGATGATTATAAAAGTCTATACATTTAATAATTAAACTTACTTGATGAAATCTTTTCATTATATTTCTTAAATTAAATTGATAATTTTTGTTGTCTAATTTTGAACGAATATCTTTGCATGGCATCTTCTTCATACACATTGAAAATATTTTTAATAAAAGTACCATGAAAAACATCAATG